TTCTCCGCGGGGGCTGAGGGCAAAGGGAGGGACCCCGCCCTGTGCCCGGGGCTGCGGAGGCAGGTGGGGCACCGGCGGGGGAGCGGAGCGCGAGGAGCCGGTTGGCAGCATGGGAGGATGCGGGCTGGGAGCGGCGGGCCGCGGGCAGCCCCGGGGCGGGGACAGCCCGGTACCGGCGGAGGAGCGGGGCCCAGTGGCTGCCGGTCGAGAGTGTTATGAGAACTGTGAGCTCCAGGGATCCCTCCGCTGCTGCGGGCGGACAAGGGCGGCACAGCCCGCTGGAAGAGCCGAGGAGCCGGGCCGGTGGCCGAGGGGGGTCTGGCGGGGCCGTCGCTCACCGGCAGCAGCGGGTCCCGGCTCCGCGTAGTGCTGAACGGACAGCGGCGCCGCGCTGCGCATGCGCGGCCGCCCGCCGGGGCTTGGGCGTGCGCTGGGAGCGGGAATGGGGGCAACCGGTGTGCGCCGGGAACAGGGGCCGTGGGGAACGGGGGCAGCCGGTGTGCGCCCGGGAACCTGGGCAGCTGCGGGGCTGAGCAACCGGTGTGCGCGGGGGAATTGAGGCCGTGGGGAACTGAAGCGGCTGGTGTGCGGTGGGATCTCGCGTGCGCTGGGGAAACGGGACAGCCGAGGAACTGGGACAGGCGGTGTGCTCTGGGGAGCCGGGGTAGCTGCGGGGCTGCAGCCACCGGAGTGCGCCGGGGAACTGGGGCCATGGGGATCTGGTGTGCCCTGGCGATCTGGGATAACTGAAGGAACTGGGACAGGCGCTGTGCGCGGGGGAGCGGCTGCGCCCCGTGAGCTAGGCCACCAGAGGCGGTGTGCGCGCCGCGCCGCCGGGAGCAACTTGTAGGAGTCGCTGCGACACCAGTGGGACCTATGACCACCGTGTCCCTCTGTGCGGCCCGGCACTCCCCACCGCGGTCCGGTGCCTCAGTCCGCTCCCGTAGCGCCCTCCGCCGCCGGGGCGCGGCCAGGGGCGGGGCCGAAGGTGGGGTGGTGGGGCGCGCGCACTTCCGCCCGCCGCCGTGACGTCACGGGCGGCCGCCGGTGTCCAGGGCGGGTGCGGCGCCGGATGGAGCGGCCGGGAGAGCCCCGCCGGGGCCGCAGGTACCGGGGAGCCGGGGAAAAGCAGGGCAGGGCATTGCAAGGCAAAGCAAAGCAAGGCTGGGCTGGGCGCGCTGCGGCGGGCAGCGGGACCGTGTCCTGGTCCCGGTGGCCGCCCCGCTGCGGCGGTGGGGCTGCCCGGGGGCGGCTCTGGGACCGAGCGAGGCCCCTTGGGACGGCGGGACGGGCATGGCCTCGGGTGAGGACCCCCTCAGGTGCGGACTGTGCTGGGGCCGAGTGTAACCGCGGCCTCTAGCCGCAGCTCGGTGGGCTTTGGGCTGCCGGGACCCCTCTGCTCCTTCCCTTCGCGGCCCGAGGCCTCATCTTCTCTGAACGGCCGCTCCTCGAAGGGAGATTCCCTGCGGGGAGCCCGGAGCCTTGTTTCTCCAGCGGGAAGGAGCAAGCGCCTGGTCTCTCCCCTGGCAGGGTGCCCGAGCGGCCCGGCACTGGATGCGGGGATTACTGACAGGTAGAGCGATGCTCGGACACGAATGCTGGGCACAGCTACTGTGCGACTGCCGCGGTAACGCTGCAGCAGCTTCTGCAGCTTCTTGCTGCTGCTTCGCTGAGGGACAGGACCTCCTTCAGCAGCTGGTGGAAAGCCCCACCCAAGCTCTCCTGGAGGGCACTGTGGGCCGGTAGACTCGGATGCCTGAGCAGTGAACGTCCCGGGCTGGGGAGGTGGTGATGCAGGTGGCAGGCACGTGCCCTGCTGATGGCTAGCCAAGGGGCTGTTCCCTGTGGGCTGATTGAGGGAATCGTCGCCGAGTCTGAGTCTTTCTTTTCGGCTGTTCTAGAGGCACCCGGCAGTAGGTGTGAGCTGATCTTGCCTGGCTCCTGCAGTAGCCTGGCTCTCTGGTGTCTGATGATGAGTGTGACCCCGACCAGGGGATGCCTCCTGGACCTGCCCTGGGAAGACATCTTGGTTCCACATATCCTCTGTCATCTGCCGCTGCAGCAACTCCTGAGCTTGCAGAGGGTCAGCAAGTCATTCCAGTCTCTCATCCAGCTGTACCTGGCCAACATGCGCTGCTTTGACTCAAGCCAGGTATTGGATGGCTCTGAGGCTGGGGGAGGACACAGATGTCCTACTGCTCTGGAACTAACAGGGGAGCATCTCTGTGGGGAGAAGAAAGGGTAGGCAAGGAGGGTAGTTTCTGGTCAGAAGCTTGGGTTAATAGTTCAGGTGTCAAACTGGACAGATGAGCTTAGGAAGGAGAGGCAGTGATTCAGGGCCCAGCAATGCCAGTGTCTTGAGTAAGAGGCCCTGAGAGGAGTAAGCTTGGAAACTCCACCCAGGCCATTATGGGGCACTGGCTGGCAGTTTGGAGTTTTTGAGTGGCATGTTGTCACGAAAGTTGTGCTGTAAGTTGGGTCTGATGGGAGATAACTCTGCTTGATCTTTAGGGAAAGTTTGTGCTATTGGAAAGTTTGTGCTATTCCTGGGAGCCACTGCCTGGGACAGACTGGAGTAGCTGCTATTCTGTGAGGACACAGAGTGGTCTAGCCAAGGGATATTTGGAGAGCGGAGGTGTGGAGCTCATCATGAGGATATAAATGCAGGAGTGATATTGTGGGATGGAGAAGCCAGAGTATCGTCTAGCTTGTGGCAGTAGCATTGGAATGAGGTGAGCAGTCTGATGGTAGAGTTTGCCTTGGGATGAGGACAGGGGATGGCTTTGGTCACTATTGTCACAGAAGAAGAGAGGAGGGGAGAGAGTATTTGGTGGGGACCAGGCTTATCTGAAACCCTGGGAGGATGCCTCATTCTTCCTGGGTTCCCCACGCAGATCGGACCTGCCATCCCTCGGGCCGCTTTTGTTAACCTGTTGAAGGACAACGAAGTTCTGCAGCAGCTGGCACTCCAGAACTGCTCCGAGTGGCTGACGGACCGGGAGCTGCTCCCGGTCATTGGGCAGAACCACCACCTGCACCAGATCCAGCTGAAGGGCTGCGCCCAGCTCAGCCGCCACGCGCTGGTGGCCATCTCGCTGAGCTGCCCCCAGCTGCGCCAGCTCTCCCTGGCTCACTGTGAGTGGGTGGACAGCCTGTCCCTGCGCAGCCTGGCTGACCACTGCAAGGCCCTGGAGGCCGTGGACCTGACGGCCTGTCGCCAGCTGAAGGACGAGGCCATCTGCTACCTGGTGCAGAAGTGTGGCAGGCTCAAGTCTCTGTCACTGGCTGTCAATGCCAACGTGGGCGACGTGGCAGTTGAGGAGACTGCCAAGTGCTGCCCAGAGCTGGAGCACTTGGACCTCACGGGGTGTCTACGAGTCAAGAATGACTCCATCAGGTACTGAGCAACATGGGGGGCCAGGGTGGGCATGGCAGGTGTCTGGCATGGGGAGAGGGACAGAACCAGAGAGGAAAGTCATGTTTCTTCATGCTGAAAGCAGTGAGAGCTTAGCCTGGGAGACAAGCCACTAGCAGGCCCTTCAGGGGAAGCACTATGTGCTATTGACAGCAAATTTCCTAGCATATCATGGAGGATAGGTCTGGGATCCGGATGTCCCTTGACTTTATCTCATACCACCGTGGTGCTGTCCCCAGAGGATGGTGCATGTGTGGCACAGTCACGAGCGCTAGGCTGCTGGGAGTAAAGAGGCGTGTGAGTGGTGAACTTAGGAGTCCTGACTTGCAACTTGCCTTTGCTGTCTTTCTTGGCAGGGTCCTGGCTGAGTACTGTCCCAAGCTGCGCTCGCTGAAGGTCAAGCATTGCCACAACGTGGCTGAGTCCAGCTTGAGCATCCTCCGGAGCCGTGGGGTGGAGCTGGATGTGGAGCCTCCGCTGCAGAGGGCTCTCGTTCTGCTGCAGGATGTGGTTGGCTTCGCCCCTTTCATCAACCTTCAGATCTAGAACTGCTGCTGCTGGGGAGGGAGGGACTGACACAATGCTGGGATCCCAGAAGGATGCCGGAACTGGCTGCTGTAGGGATGTGCAGAGGGAGAGGTCAGTCCCATTGGTGAGGCTGGCCTGAGTGGGGCTCACTCTTTCCTCTGGGGCTGTGTAGCAGCCACTGAGTGCTCATAAGTGGACTTCATTGGTGCCTCTGGGGAAAGTAACTCCCTCTGCAGTGGTGTGGAAAGAGCGAGTGATTTGCAGGAACACCATGGTGCTGAACAGGTGCTTGGTCAGGCCAGCTGATAGATAGGACTTATTATTTGTTGTATTTTAAATCTTTAAGCGGCAGCTGTCCAGAAAGCAGGGGAGTGTTTGATGGGGACTGTCCCCTGGGGTGGGTGTGCAGGGCATGCCAGTGGAGCTGTGGAACAAAGCAGACCAGCTGGAGCAGAAAGAATAGCTACCAACCCTCCTCTTGAGAGAGGGCTGGCCCCTCTGGGCTCTGGGAGGAGGGCAGTGAGCCTAAGCTCCAGCCCACAGCCACTGGCTAGCCTGGCACCAAAGGACTAGCATGGCCCCAGTATAGGCAGTGTGTCTGCCCAGGCCTAGTGTGCTGGTTTAGGCTGGAACAAGGTGGGAATTGTGCTCCAGATGGCAGTTTGACTGACAGAAAAATGCCAAACCTAGCTGTGCTGTCACTGAAAGCAGTTGGTCATTGCCATTTGTTTCTTCCAGCATCTGACTATTTTAGTAGTGCCCAGGCCTGCTACTGTATTTTGCTCCCTGTTGTGTGGCTGGAGCTTTGGCTCTCAACAGTGGTGAGAAATGGCAGGAGCACTGACTCTGCTATCAGCTGGAGTTTATGGAGAGAGCTGCAGATTGTGTTGGCAGGGGGAGCCTAGTGCTGGAGCTGAGCCTAAGCCCTTTTATCTGCTAGGCAATTAATCAAACAGCAGCTGCATCTTGAGAACATGAAGAGAGTAATTAGAGGAAGAGAGGATGACCCTGCTCCTGTCTTTGGAGGCAGTGTTTTAAAGCATGTGCACGCTCTGGCTGAACTACACACCAACTCACATCATCTTTATTAATACTGGCACTCAAAGCAACAGTGCACAAAGACTTGTTAAAAAGGTTGCTGCAAAAGCACATGCCACATCTCAGATCTAAAAATGTCCCATGCAAGGAATAGCAGAGAATGCCCAGGTCCTGGAGAGCCACTGCAGTGTGCCCCTGGGGGCAGAGGGATAGCTACACAAGGAGAGAAGTCTGCTCAGCCAGGTTAGTTGAGGAAGCTGAAAGCAGTGTCCTGGCTTCCAGGTTAGTTCAAGTTAGTGGCAGGTGGAGTCGACCTCACTCCTAGCACCACACATCCATCCTGCCATGCCTGGCAGTGAGGTGGAAGGTTGAAGAGCTGGAGGACCTGGCTGTCAGTGGAACTTATACTTCCTGGCTGGTTTTAGGCTGATGTAGGTTCTCTTCATCTCCTCACTCTCAGGCTTCTTGATGTCTTTGTACCTCTCTCCTTTTGTGCTCACCACCTGGTTATCAATATAGCGGATCAACTTCTTGGGAGCCTGGAGAGGAAAGATATCAACACCAAGTGGATGGACAGCCACACTGCTAGAGAAATGGAGGGGGCAAGCAAAAGCAGAGCTGCACTATGGGAGGTGGGTGGGCTGCTTTACCATTGTCTGTGTTGGGAACCTTGGCCAAAACTGGGAAGGGTGCTATCTGATGGGAGGGAGCAAGAGCCATGGTAGTCAGCAAAGGTAAGAACTGACATTTCCTGCAGCACCTTAGCTGAGCTAATCTTCCCTCTTTGACTGACAGGTTCTATGAAGAGACCTGCCTTTGGCCTGCCCTGTTGTGTTTTTTGGACTTGCAGCCTGGTTTTATTTTAACCTTTGGGACATTTAAACTGCTGGTGAGCTGGGCCTGCTTACCTCTTTGGGTGGAGCTGGCCGATGTGTTTTCTGGTCGTCTGCACTATCCACCATCATGTATCTGAAACACAAGAAGCATTCAGTGAACACTCTAACATACATTGCTGGGGGCTACTCCCAGCCTATGTCCCTTCTCCCCTGGCTGGTTTGTGTCCTACTTGCCTAGATTGCAGCTAGGAAAACTTGATGTTCCCCTCTGGGTGAAATGGGCAAGAAGTATGTCACCCTTCTGGTGAGAATCTAGTGGGATTCTCCTGGAGTGGTATCCTTGGCTGTATGTGAAGGGTATTGAAAACTCAGGTGGTTGAGAATGCTGACAGCCACTGCAGAACTGAGAGAGGTACTGAGGTCTGCTGTGATCTGCCATCGGGGCAGCTTTGTTCCTTCTCAGTGCTAGTGATGGCAGCCAAATGAGAAATAGGTGAGGTTACAGGACCAATCTGTCTGCTTTTGCCCTGAATGATGGTGTTCCTTTCACACTCCTCCTACTACTTGACTATGAAACAGGTCTGTGCTGGAAGCAACTTGATAAAAGCATCACCTCATTTCCTATGTAACTGAAACATCAGGGTCCAAGCATTTGCTTGCTGTACTGCTGAGTTGCTACTCTGAGATTTTGGTGCTGGTTCAGCACAGGTGACCATGACTTCTCCCTCAGTAGTTAGTATAGTTACTCTTGTGTATCTTCAGCTATGGCGATCTGCTTTCTGTACCTGTGCTTGAGTGATGTTTAAAGTACAGGATGTTGCCAAAATGTCATTAAAGTGAAGTTCTCAGAAACATAACAAGAAGCTGGTGATTTTTTTGTTCCCTTGCCTGTCCCTCTGAAATGAGCCTGCACAGGAGATGGGCAAGGACAAGGATTACTACTTCTGCCTGGATGCTGTTCTGCCTTGCTTTATCGTTCCTAGCCTATTGACTGTTTATTTTGTCCCTGGGGAGAATGTAAAGTGGAGAAGATGTGGCTGGATAGACATGTGGAAGCTGTATGCCTGCATGAGGATACTCATGAAAGATGTGATCTTAAAGCAGATAGATGAAACCAACAGTGTGGGTTCTCCCATTGAGAATTCTGTTTGAATGCTTTTAGAAATGAATATAGGTAAACTAGTCTTAAGCTACTTTCGTTCCCAAGAAGTCCATAGGACTTCAGAGAGGTTTCTTTAAATGCATTGAATTCACACCTTCAGCAATTGAGATTTAATCTTCCCAATGCTGTTGTACAGGCAGTCTCTCTAAGGTATTTTTAACCTTGTTTGGACTGTCTCCAAGAATGGAGGTATGAATGAGTTACTGTAGTTCTACAGGTCACCATGTGTTTGTTACCTGAGCTGCAGCATGATGTTTGTGCCTTGAACCTTTAACCAGGACCTCAGCTAACAGCACTGACTTACACTGCATCTGTAGGAGGCTGAAACCTTGCACGCAGCCAGTGCTGTGACCCAGCTGGTACAGGTCATGTGTTTCTGTGCCAGAGCTCTAAAAGAAACCAAACCTGTTCTGTTGTTTAGGTTTTGTGGGTTGTTTGGGTTTTTTGTGTGTATATGTTTGGTTAGTTGGTTTTTTCATTTTTATTTTCCTTCTTCCCAGCTGATGATTGTGTTTGTGCTTAGATGTGTTCAGCCAGTACCCACCCCTAGTTCTTTACAGACCACACTGTTCCCCAGACTGCTACCTCTTCATTGATTTGGAGCAAAACAAGGGGTTCTTTGCTGCTGGGTACTTACTTCTGTAGGATGACCTGTTTTAGCTCCTCGTGGTTGGGTGCTCTGCGGGGCCGTGCCAGTTCCTGGGAGGAGACAAGCTGGTGTGTGAATAGCAAAACAACAGGGCATACAGCTTACCTCCTAGCTCAGGGAACCCAGCTGCTGGTGGAGCACTCCAGGGGGAAAGGGGTGCCAGCCACAGCTCCACGGGGGTCCTGCCTTGGTGGGCACAGCCTATATTAATAGAGCCAGGGGAGGGAGAGGAGCTGTCGCTCTGCATGATCCTCCTGGCTTATTGTGCATAAAGTTTCTGCAGTCAAAATTTCTGCTTGTAGCAGAGATCTGTGGCACCTTATGTCCCTGAGTTCTGCCCTGCTCCTTGGCCCACTGCCACCCTGGTCAGAGTACAGTACCTTCACACTCGCACCTGCTGGGCCAATTTGCACCTTCTCCTCCACAATTAACTGCACTGCCTCTTCCAAGTTCCCCAAGGTCATGGCGAGAGCCTTCTCTGCCTGGCTCACAGTACAGGCTGGGAACATCTCCAGGAGCAGCTCCACCCCATCCTTCAAGTCAGCACCTTCCTAGTTGGAGAAAGAGACAGAGGTAAGTTGGGGATGCAGCGGTGAGGAGAGGGCTACTGAAAAGGGCCTCTGTTTTTTCATAGTCAGGAAATTCAGCTTGCCTTTTGCTGAAAGCTCTCCTTACCATCATTACTAAATCTGATTCTTGAAGCTAACAGGGGACTGTATCTTTGGAAGCACCATCTCCTCTCACTCTCCTTTGATCTCCTCCCTCTGTATTTCACCTTGCTTTAAAGCAGGGCTCCCATAACCTGACTCATCCATGCTTAAGAGTGAGTGAGCTTCCTGGACCCTGTGGTGCGAATGCCTGACTCCTGCCCACCTTGTAAGTTATATGTACTTTGATTAGAAAGGAAAGGGGCTGCTAAACACTGACCTGATGCTACATCAGAAGGCATCACCATAGCAGCATTTGCTGGAACGCTGTGGACACAGAATGCTTGTATTGCAGAGCAGGAATAGATCAGTACTGGAGCAACAGCAAGGAGGGTGGGGGGGAGGAAGCTGGGGTTGATGTAGAAGGTACTGCAGTACCTGTAGCTGCTGTGGGATTTCTGAAGGCATTGGGACAGGCTCTCTCAGCCACTGCTCTTGCTTACCCTTTCCAGCCACTGAAAAGGATGAGCCAGAGCATTGGCTCACAGTCTGTCAGCATATAATTTTCTGACAGTCTTGCTCAGGCCATAGAGTGGAGAGGATCATGGACACAAGTGATGCTGTGTCACAGCCTATGCTGTCCAGAGCTGGAAAATGCCCTCAGGTGGTGCTGGTAGCCTAGTGCTGTGTGCCTGTCCCAGTGCTCCTGCTCCTCTGCAGGGTACTCATACCTGGGCCCCGGCTCCGTCTGTTACAGTGCACAGTCTTTCCCCGTTGCAGGCTCCAGCTCCAGCCTCCTGGCCCTTGGTGAGATCTTCAGAGGATGCTTCACTCCTGCTTTCCACAGCCTTTTGGCCAAGTTTTTCTTAAAGACACAGTGATATCTCCTGAGGAACAGTCCCACTAAGGCTAGAGCTCTGTGCTTTCTGTTGGCATTAGATTGCTAGTGCATTGTGTGCCAAAGCAAATCTCTTCATAAGTGACAATACTTGGAAAGACTACTGTTTCTCCTGCCCTCAGCAGGGACAGCTGCAGCTCTGCTCCCACTGATCTGCAGGAAGCCAGTGCTAGCACATGCTGGAGTGCCTGAGTTCTGCATTTCCAGGCTGTAAAGGGCATGGACTGCTTGCAAATTCAATTATACTTTTCAATTCTCAGTCCACTAGTGCTTCGGTTGTGGATACTACTATTTCTAAGAATTCCCTGGTATTTGCTCTTTGAACTAAGGTGTAGTTTTGATTTTTAAACTTGGGAATACACTGTGGTAGTCCTCAGGCTGCATGCAAGCCAGCACATCCTGTGATCAGGTTAGTCTGATGCATCTCTTTTTTTACAGGCTCTTTTTCCCATGGTAGGAAGAACCATTTCACTTTTGTTCTGTCCTAAGACTGGAATAGTGCTTTCCTTCCACACTCTGGCTACATCAGGATCCTCAAAGGGTAGGATGCAGGGGAGCAGGGCAGAAGATTTTGTCAAGTTCAAGAAAGCAGCAAGAAAGATAAAAGACAGGGCTGTCTATTCTACATTGTATAGCCTTCTGGCAAGGCAGCAGTGATGTTGCTAGACCAGCAAAACTCAGACTGGTTATGTCCTGAAAGATTTGATATCCAGGCACTGCAACCTGTCTGTTCTTTAGTGGAAAGTACCCATGGAGTTAATTGATACAGCAATCCAGCTGGCCTGTGAATGCTGAGGTTAGAAGGGGCCATTGTCACAGCGTAGTCTTCAGCAGTCCTGCACAGTGCAGGTCAGAGCACATCACTGATTTTGCATCTGTGCCAGGGTTCATGGATGAACAGGAAGTGAGCTTTGAGGATGCTCAAAGTTAGATGTGATACATGCACTCAGCTGGATACCCTATTTGATGATGTACCTGATAAAGGCTGCCCAGTGGTAGTGCCACTTAGGCAGATGGCTATCAGAGGCAGGCAGAAATCCTCTTTCAGAATTAACTTACAGCAGAATTTCAACAAGCAGCCCTGAATTAGTTATTTCTTTGTTATTACTCTGGCTTTGATCTCAATACAGGTATTTCGAGAATTAATCAAGTGTTTTTCACTTCAGTATGTCTTGGACAGTATTCCATATGACTCTAACCTCCCATCTCCCATTTGTTGATGTGAAAAACCTGTTGGAAAAAAACCCCCAAACCTGTCAATCAATTTGGGCTACCTTATGAGTTCCTAACTGTGGCAAACAAGTTTGTACTTTTTCTGTGACATTGTTCAACTCCAAATATTAAGGCTAAAAACATGTACAGATCTTGTGCTGACATTGTTTGTGTAACTCACCTTTGTTGCGAGCTTCACAAAGCCTTTCTGACAGGGAGAACATCATTTCACAAACATCCCCACTGCAAGAGACAGAAGCTGTATAATAAGCATGAGGAATAAAAGCACTAGCCTCTCCTACTTGGCTACCATTTTATAGAAAGACAAGGCTTGATGGGAAGCCCAGTAAAATCAACCGGTATTTCAGATTACCAAGGACCTAGTTGCAAACTATATTAGGATTAGCATCTGTGTATTCAGGCAAAGGGTGACTTATCATGATGGTTCAGGTTTAGTACTAATACATTTTCATCTGGGTATAACAAAAGAATTTGTAGTATTGGGAGTCTTGGGGCCAGGCCCTTGATGCATGGCATACACATACAAACCAGTAACAATCACATACCTGTGGATTTCTGCAAAACCAGGGATATATGCCTCCATCATTTCCACAAAGGTGTCCATGTCAAAAGTCTCTTCAGAGGACTCTGGTGAGCCCAGCTCTTCCAGGACACCCGTGATGTAAGAGAAGAAAACATCATCCATCCCACTGGAGACAAAGACAACACAGATAGCAAGGTCAACAGGCCCATTTTTTCCTCTCTCCATCCCCATTCTGCCTAACCTTGTGTCTTTCTAATACAGCAGCAGGAGCTATGTGACTGTACATTATGAGGAGATACCACCCCTAAGGCCAAGTAGCAGGTGGTCAGTGGCTGAGAGGGAAGCATTAACAGATAAATAGTGCATGTGGTCCTGCTTCCTGGGCAGCACTGAATGAAAGTCCCAGTGTGTGCTCCAGAGGCTGTGCTCCTGTGGGTGCTTCAGCAGAGCTAACCAAAATACTCCACGTGTTCAAGGCCTTGGCTGTTCTATATTGACTGGTATTTCAGGTGAGTTACCCTTTCTGTGGGATACAGGGTTCTCTGCTTGCTGCACTCCACACTGGTGTCACTGCTGCCACCAGCTGCAAAACTCACTGCTGTGGTCCAGCCTCAAGGCGGCTGTATCTCTGCATGCAGGCAGACCTCAAAACAGAGAGAGGCCTGAAAGAGATGATCCTGCTCAGAAAGCCATTTGGGAGCGCTGTGGAATGAAGGAAATCCCATATCCTAATGGGTATTACTGGACAGGAAATTAATCATCTTGGTCATCAAAGAAATGCCATTGCTAGATTGCAATGCTAAACTATAGTTATTCCAGCATTCCCATCAGAGCCTGTACAAATTACCTACATCCTGGATCTGACTTGAGAGGGAGCAACACAAAGTACAGGAAAAACTACAGAATTCAGTACAATGCACAGAGTGACAATGCAGGAGCACAATACTGGAATTGCCTATCTCAACATACCTGAGATCTGCTGCAGGGATGTGGGACTGGATGAAGCGTGTCAGTGTGTCTTGAATGATTCTTTCAATCTCCATATCTCTCTAAGCCTTTTCCTTTAAAAAAAAAAAAAAAGAAGGAAAAACTCCATGTAATTTTAATAAAATAAAAATATCAAGATCAAAATGCAGGTATGGTATAGGCAAGTGTGCTCTTCCCATGAGAACAATTCACAAACTTCTCCAATGTCTTGTCATCTCTGGGTAACAGCAGACAAAGATATCCATAAAAAACTGCAGTATGAGGATCTACTGGAAAAAGGAGCCCAGTGTCTTGGGCCTCTCCTGACTGTGTTGATGCTGTCAGTATGCAGCTGTACCGTACATTTAACAAGTCCCCTCTGGGAAGCAAAGCTGGAAATGCAGATGTGTCCAGCTGCAGGAACCAGGGACCCCTTCTGAGCTGGAAGACTGTGCTGTCCAGTGAGGAAGAAACAGGGAGTGGGCTTGTACACTCCCTGCAGAAAGGGGTGGACCTTCCAGCCAAGAGCATATGCAATGATGCTTGGACTTGACTCAGGAATGAGTGGGAGGAAGGGTAATGTCTCCTAAAGAAAGGACATCCTAGAGTATATTTTACAGGGAAATACCAAGCAGGGCACAGACGAGTAGTCTGCCAGCCAAAATATCAAAGGTCTCCAGGTCAGGCATGGACTGCCAATGGAATCCTGCCCAAACAGGAGCCCGTTGTTGTGCTCGGTAAATGAGCCATTCTAGAGCTGATGCAGCTGCAACAAGGGGCACTTGATAACCCAAAACTCAGGGGAGTTCTAAGAATCACAGAGCTCCTACAGAAGCAGTGGCAGAAGGGGGCTGCCCACAGCCCTGCTTTGGCTATCAGTACTGAGCCTGGACTGAACAGGGTGGAAAAAAGCTGTTTCTTAACCATTCCTTCCCCTTGGGGTCTACAGAGCTGCTGGGTGGACAAATTCTTGGTACAAGCACCAAGTTCTTCAAGGAAACCAGCCTTGCATTTAGAGAAACTGGTATGGTCATTGGCCAGAGAGGTTCCCAGGGTCATCATGCTCTCATCAGTGCAGTTCTCTCATTTCAACCCCACTAGGACCTGGCCAGGCCTGTTTGACACAGAACTCATGGAACAGTCATATAGCTTACTAACAGACAATTCTGGTGTCCCATGGGAACCAGAAAGGTTTGGCATTTCCGAACTAGAGGAGTCTTCCAGAGTTAGCAGCCTATAAACAAAACCACCCCATGACACTCAGCCAAATTTAGAACTATGTAACTCGGGACATCAAAACTCCTTCTGCATTAAACTTTCAAATGCTACACTGCTTCTAGTGATGATCTGCAATAGTTAAGGGGAAGATTCACTAGGAGACTTATCCTATGTGCTCAGTTTTGTGTGAGTGATTTACAATGCACAAAATTATCTACAACCCAAAGGCAAGAGAAATCACTCTACTGAGAGCTCAGTTTTCCTGAAAAGATGTTACCATACTTCTAAACTTCCAGTCATAATTGCAATGTGGGTTTTAAGATCACTTCACTAGTTGATACTGATTCAAATGAATTTGTGAAAGTCCTTCTGCATTTCTTGTTGCAATATGGGTTCTGTATAACATGTTGCACAGAATCTATTTTTAAAAGCATATGATGAAATGATACTCCTATTGCTCTGCTCACAGCCTTACAGTTTTGCACTGTCAGAACATGAGAGCTTCAGCTCCTGGCAATCCCTGTCATTTTCTGACAAACCCCAGTCTTTAAACACTGAGGTTTTTTATCAAGGAGTGAGCAGTGGAGCACTGCATGTCATCTCATTAAGTCAGGCTTAGTTTGAAATGCCAGCAGTGCTTATTTGAATCACATAACGTTGCATGGCATACACATTTCCTCACCTCAGGCAGAGAAAAGTGGTATCAGTTCTCAAACTGTGAATGTGAAAATTATTCATTTTCTGTATTAGATGCTTTGGCCAGTTTCCCACCCTATTGTCAGTCCTGAGAACCTAGCAATCTCAACAACCTCCATCCCCTTGTATTCTCCTTCCCAACATGTTAATGTCAAATTTATTTTGTTGGCTTGGTGGGGCTTTTTGTAAAACAAATGTAGAAATAATATCCCTCTAAAAGTACCATTGCTCTTGTGGTGTATGAAATAAGTACTTATGGTATATTGAAGAAAAGTTGGTATGAATCTGTCTTCCTCAAAAAAAAAAAAAAAGGCAAGAATCTCAACTGTTTGCATACAGCTAGATTGTTTTGGAAGGTTCTTTCAACTCCAAGTTCAGTAATCATTCTTAAATGGTCAGTGTGATGGAGTGGGAATGACTGTGAGCCTTGGACTTCTTACTAACAAGACAGACTCAAGCAATTTAGAAGAATGTTTCTGAACTAAGGAACTGTATATCAACTTTTATGGGATCATAAATTTGCCTACCGATGACTAGAGGTATCTGCAAGTGGAAGGAGGTGGGTGTTGTATCCTTGGATGTTTCTCAGAACAGGTTAGAGCAAGTTTATGTAAATCTGATCTGAGAAGGTTCATTTAGCTCAAGTGTCAGTGAGTGAATAATGGGACAGGGATGGTTCACTGAGCTCTCTCTGAATTTTTTTTCTGAAAAAGCACAGAGCATGTCTTATGCTGCTTGGTGTGTCTGTGCTTGGGGAAGTGCATTGCTCTGGGATATAAGGCCCCCTCAGTGCAGCCTGTGACATACAGGCCCAGAGGGAACTTCTCAAAACACATGTGCAGGACAGAAAATGAGCTGTGGCTATACTCTACCTGAACTATTAGACTCAAACTTCAGCTTAAAAGAAAACTTTCCAGGCTAAATTACAGTTTACAGACAATTTCAGTGCTTCCATATTTTTTGTTTTTCTCGCTAAAGAAGTCCCTGAAAGTGCTTTCACAGTGTGGCTGCTATGGGAAAGCAGACTGAGGTCACTGTGAGTGTTTACACAATTAACTGCTTAATGCTCTAAAATTAACATAGGACTTTTGTTCATAGCTTAGTCCCAGTAAACTACAGTGATAGAAGATAATAATGCCAGTGGCCAGGCCCTGCCCTCCCCTCTAGATCTACCCTGGAGAGCTGCACTTGGATACTCTGCTGGCACGGGGCCCTTACCGGAGCAGACGTGTCACCTGTGCGAGGTCTTCGGCTCACGGCCACTGTTTGTGAAATCACTTCAGTGCCTGCAGAGGAGTTGACAGTCCATCCTATGCCTGCCAGGCTCAAGCCATGAATGAGGGAACCCCTTTATGGGAAAGGAAAGCTGAATTAGCTGAAACAGGACCACAAGAGAATCATTCTGTATACTGGTGTCTTTATGTTTTACATCACTTTTGACCATTTCCCCTAACGCAGAGGGTGCAGCTTTATTCTTTGGGATAAAATGTATTTTGTGAAAGGACAACGTGGCTGTGAGAACGTTGTACCTGTCACCCTTCAAATTCACTGCGATGCCGCAATGTTTTTCAACATCCACGGTTCATGCAGCAAGGCCAGCAGTGGTCCCTGCACATCACCAACATACCGCAAAGGCACTGCCGGCCTCATCGCCACGGCCGAGCAGGAGTTGTCTCTCGAGGCTCCGAGGAGACACACCGGAGAGCGAGCACCGGTGTTCTG